GCTTTAGCCATCACGTTTAGTTTGACCCATTAAACACAATTTAAACCGTTTTAAATTGATTAACTGTGGATTAGACAACAGTAGTTTTGCCACACCTGGCACATAGAGCACGGTGGCAACTTAAAGCTCGCGCACTTATCCGTTTCGTAGAACATTTTTCCGTTCATTATACGAGCGCTGATTATTTTAGTCATAATACCATACGCGACGACGGAATGGCCATGGCCGCCTTCCTACAATTTAGCAACTATGTAATTGGCATAGCGATTGTATTGCGTTGCAACAATACCAATAGTCCACAGTCTTTTCTGATCTTCTTAGGCTGCGTATCGACATCCGGGTATCAAAGGTCTCTAACGTACCAGATACGTATAGATCGTTCATTTTAAGCCCGTAGGCTTAACCTTCGGCACGTCAGGTTAAGCGCATTCGACAAAATATATGTTTCATTTATTCATTACCAATGGGACGTGCCTTTATGAAGTCGTCTTATTCGACATACCATTTTGAAGAGGGGTGTTTCCTGACCCCCTGTACTCGAAGATATAAACTTCAAGGATCCGGGTCGACGCGCATGCGTCAATTCGTCTATCGTAGACTGATCCTTATGTCGTCTCATCATTTTGAGCTGTTGAGCACCCTGGTCGAATAACAGGTCTGCCTTTTGAGAACTTTGTTAGTCAGACAAGGCCACCTTTTCTAGCGCCACGTCAAGTTAGCGTTGTATTAACTTAGCGACGGCGGAATGCTATGGTCCCTGTCTAGTGTAGAGGACATGTACCAAACCGCATTCTCTTGTTCGGTCGATATCGTCCGTGCGACCGCATTCCACTAGGGTTTATTTATTTGGAGTAGCTTTCGCGTGTGGCATGAAAGCTGTCGTCATCATTGTCTAACATGTTCATGTTAGGCGCAAAATGTTGCGGTCCTTGTAATAACTGTATGGTGTACCAGGTGGAAATAGGCAGTGAGAGCTGCGCACTAACAACAGAGCGCAGCAAGCTCCCATTGCCTGCAGTAGGAACTATTGACCAGGTAGGTTGGAGTACACGGTACGCTTTTGAGGAAGGCTTTGTACTTAAAATTGAGCGTAGAAAACAAAAAAAGAAAACTGAAATAATATATTTGAGTCCTGAAATGTGTCTTGTCCATGTATTTTGTGACGTCAACTTACCATCCATTGCATGCGTCTAGGAGCGATTGGTCGGTAGATATAATGCTGTATCAGCCAACGAGTAAACCTTGGGTCACTGCAACAATAACAACGATCTCAGTGTTATTGCAGTTATATTAGTAGACTTGAAGTTTCGATAATCATTTCGTCACAAATGATAACATAATGCGACAGCTCACCCCGCTATATCCCTAGTCTATCATTTCTTCGTCGAGAATGCATCGCACAATTAATGAGCCGTCACCCATGTCCCCATACTAGTGTGGTGCAGTGACGATTACAACATTTTTGCGATCCCGACTCTCTACTGGAGCCCAGACAACCAAATGTCGGAGGGTTTTCTTAGCCTCGCGTGCTTGTTACCTTCTTGCCCTTATTCCCCCGTCGACCGGGCGGGCTGCACTATCAGGTTGACTCGTGTCGAGGTAAAACTTGACCGTGATTTTGATTGGGCTGGGTACAATCGTTTGTAACCCTGTAAATGATGACAAGTGTTCTGGTAGGTTGCTTGTTATAAGTAGCCCCGATCCCGACGAGATATTTATTTACAATTCGTAGATAATGGACTCGCTTGACGTCCAAATCGCTTGATATGTCTCGCGGTCTGCTCCTTGTCCTCTACTGTGTTGCTGCGTCATATCGCAGCGGAGGTTTTCTTGAAAGGACTTAATCCCTGGACAGATGATCCAGGATTAATACCCTCATTGCATTAAGTGACTTCTCGTGACGTCGTGTAGCTAGTAATTGAAGTCGGAAGAAGAGTCGACAAGTGTTTCGAAGGCTGATTAAACTCTGATCAATGGTTTTGAATCAACGAAGGACTACGACGATGTTTACCAATTATTCCGGATCTGCTGTCATGTGATGCCAATGACTACTGAAGGTATTCTTGTACGACGTGGCTCACTTAATTTTTTCCGATCCCGGATCGGGTGGTGTGGTACACACCATCCGATGAATTTGCAATCTCGAATTACTTTCGATAGTATCCGTGATCGCGGATCCCGTAGGTTTGTTACACACCATTCCATAAACTCGCAATTTTCTCCCTGACCGTGATCGCGGATCACGAGGTATAAACCTATTCTATATCCATCACCCCTCGACATTAGGTGAATATTCCAATTTCAACGATTTTTCCTTGCAGAATAAATGTTTGTGACGATACTTGTAGGACTGTCTCCACCTATGCTATGACAACTCGACCTTTACCAAAGCGCGATCCGTGTTCCGGTACAAAATAGCTCTAGCACCTAAACACACTAGCTTATAAGTTTCAACGTAATTGAGAGGTTATCCGTCCTTTCACTGATAAAGCCATAGTATAAACTAGACGGATGTTGATACTTCATATAAACCGTCTGGTGAAAGATTGTGTTACGGTAGTTCGATGTTGTTATACAACCACGTTATGCGTAGGTGTAACATTTGGTGTACCACTTCATAAACTGGCGTCATATTGAGTACGTCTACTAGGGACTGGGGAGTTTCAGCTACCTGAAAATACGATCCTGACCTTACTATATACTTGATTAATCCCTTACATTCAAGTGCTTAAATCGGATTTCATCCTAATGTCAATATATATATACATTAGTTCAAATTTTGATCTACAAGTGACATGTGCCTCACTCCGGCGTCATTTGGTCCTATGATACTAGTTGTATATTGAGGCGTGTGTTAGTACGCATTAGTTGCAGCTTATTCTAAGACAAGACTATAATCTATGCGAGGTCATTGAATCTCGTGAGTCAAAAACCATAGATTCTATGACTAGAATAGAATCCATGTGAGGTCGTTGACTATCAGAGAACAAATCACTGATTATTCGTCTTTGTTACCTTTTCAGTCGAATATTATTAAACTTTTTAACCTTGAGTCGTTCTCATTCGTTGGAATTAAAAATTCACTGAAAGCTTCAGTCTTCCTCCGAAAAAGTACTGTGATAGCTCTGCTACAATTTCACCCGGTATCGTCTGCTACAGGTGAAACTACAACGTTCATTTTTAAACTTTTTATCGACTTTTGGTACAGGCGAGTGGTCTCGTTTGCATCTACTTGAAGTCAATGTCCACTGAAGTATGCTATAATTGCGCTTACAAAATTGTTTAGCTATTGTGTCCTCTTCCGGCGGTATAAAATATTCAACTTCTAGCATTGCAGATGTTTGAGGCCAAATCTACGTATGGCGATGCAACCTTCACTCCATCAGTTCAAGTTGTTTTTCTAATCGGATGCCAGATTCATAATTAATGTAGGTTGCCTAGGTATCGCATAAAATTAACGTAGAAATAATTATCGCAGTGGGTCGAATTTGGAAGGCGCTGGGATATCATGCCGTACTCGAGTAAATAATCTATGTGGCGTGCAGGGTGCTATAAATAGTATTAGATTATAAATACTTTGTATACTATAAAATTCGCACCTGCAAGAAGCGCGTCCATTTGATCTTAATCCAATCTGGAAGGGTTATCTGTATCCTCCTTATACATTGCGCACCACCAAGAACCTGTAAATTTTGTTCGACGGCTAAATTTATAATAAAATAATATCTTTATCTCCTTTTCTGCATCCAAATTCGCCTTACGAACGCTTCCGTCGCACTGCACACAACAAACACATCTTTTGCACATATTAGCACCAACCAAAGTATTTATCAGTCAACATTTACCACCACCATGCCGCTCCCAACAAATGGCTACGGCACTTAAAGATATGAGGGTTGTTGCTGCGCCCGCAGTGGCATATAAAATTATTTTGATTAGAAGTGCTGAATAGGGCTTTTGGAAGCGACTGTCATTGCGGTCGGACATCACATCATTTTACCTTAGGTTTTGTTTGCATACTAATATTCATCTAAATGTTCTGGGGAGACCCGAAATGCCATGCTCGAAAAAATTGCGACGATGCGTTACAGGCCCGCGAATAGATTGTCTCAAAAATTCTTGTAATCGTCTCGCTCAGTACCATCCGCCGCCATACCAAAAAGAGCTTATAATACATAGACGTATACCGCAATATCCTGACTAGAATACCGATTACGCACGAAAGAAGTATATATCGCACCGAAGAATATATATTCAGTACAAACGTATGTGAACGTTTTAGCTGCTGCCAATTACTGTGCTTTGCAATTGTTTTGGCAAAACGTGATGGCTTTTTTGATGGATTTGGTAACTACCTGCGTCATTGTATTGTAAACAATGAACATCAACAGGCAAAACAATGCCGTTTAGGGTGAAGACAGCCAGTTTTGCACTTATAAAACTGCAAAAATGATTCTCATATGCTGATTCGTCTATTTTCTATTGTGCTGCATGTGGAAATGTCGAAAAATTAGAAAAAAAGTAAGCGGGGAATTAACGTGCGGCCAAATGCGGCTCGCCTCGAGCTAAAAAGAATTAAATTATCCGAGCTTACGGTCCCATAACTTCGCATGGACTTTTGTTTAATTTAAACCCAAGAGTGTAAGAAACGTAGCTAGGTGCGTACTTCAGCTATTCAGGGTCTTATATTGTGTAGTAAGAGGTATGGGGTGGGATGTACCGAGTGATAGAGATCGGAAAATGTTACAGATTATCGATGAGGCCCGCTAAATCATTAAGTAAGATAGATGATAAATATTCAAACAATTATTTGCAAAAACAATTTACATCAGAAACAACGTTTGCTCCAAACGTCGCTGATCGGACTTATAGTTTGTGTCGGGGGCAATTTAGACGCGTCATTCAACCACCGACTACTGCCGTTTCGCCACCGACTGGACTGGATAAAAAAAGGTCTGACGAGTGGCACACCACATGCACACATTTGTGGTATTTCATCAATGACACCGGTCTCATCTTCCACTGCTGCTGTGCTGAAGGGGTTCTCTGTCTGACACTGGACGCGCCTGTCCCTGCTGCTCCCGGGACGACTGCTCTGTCTATTGACGAGAAACTCGTCAAGCTCGCGGCCATCACTGGCGCTCCACTGTCCGCTGAGGTCGACGCTCAGCTGCACGCGCTTTTTGCGAAGAAGGTGCACCCTATTGCCTACGATGGCTTCGAGCCCTCAGGCCGCGTGACGCTCGCTGCCGGTCTCTTGCGTATCCTGAACGCCCGGTGACTTCTAGACGCTGGCTGCCACGTGCGTCTGCTGGTAGCGGATACACACGCGCTGCTCAACAACAAGTTTGGCGGTGATCTCAAGAAGCTCCAGAGCGTCAGTCTCTACATGGTCGAAGTGTGGAAAGCGCTCGGTCTCGACGCTGACAAGTCGCAACATGTCGAGATCATGCTGGCGTCGACAGAGACGGCGCGTCATGCTGGTGTCTACTGGTCACAGGTGCTGGACGCCGCGGGTCGCTTTACTGTCGAGCGTGTGCAGCAGTGTGCACCCATCATGGGCCGCAACGACAATGATACCGTGCACAACACGAACCGCATTTTGTACCCACTCATGCAGCTTGCTGACGGCTTCTTGCTGCAGGCTGACATCTACCAGCTCGGAGCTGATCAGGAGCGTGGCAATGAACTAGTGCGCGAGTACGTCGCACAGAAGGATCAACTGGACTCACCGGTTTTCCTCACGCACCCACTACTGCTCGGCTTGAAGCAGGATCAGTTCAAGATGACCACTACAGACGCCGAGTCTGCCATCTACGTGGATGACACGGCTGCAGAGGTTAATGCCAAGATCAAGAAAGCGTTTTGCGTACCCGGTGAGGTGGAAGGCAACCCGGTTTGTGCTACGATGGCTTTGAGCCGTCAGGGCATATGCATATTGCCCAGGGCGCTTTACGCACGGTGAACGTGAAAAAGCTTGCATCGGCAGGCTGTGTGTTCCGCTTCTGGGTGGCGGATTGGTTTGCTATGCTGAGCAACAAGGTGGGTGGCAACTTGGACAAGATCCGACTCGTGGGTCAGTACATCGTAGAGATTTGGAAGTCGGTAAGGATGGACATGGCCAACGTGGAGTTTTTGTGGGCGTCGAAGGAGATCATTTCACACAGTGCTTCGTACTGGTTGCATGTGACAGTCATTGCTCGCCGCACCACCATCGCTCGCACGCTGAAGTGCTGTACGATCATGGGCCGCAAGAAAAAGAAGGCATGCAGGCTGCGCAGATCCTCTACCCGCTGATGCAGTGCGCTGACATGTTCAGCGGGAAAGCTGATATTTGCCAGCTGGGAATCGACCAGCGCAAGATCAACATGCTTGCTCGCGACTATTGCGACCAGGCAAAGATCCGCTTCAAGCCTGTCATTCTGAGCCACCACATGCTCATGGGCCTCAAGGAGGGTCAGGAGAAGATGTCGAAGAGCGACCCAGAGTCGGCCATTTTTATGGAAGATGCGTCGGGCGACGTGAGCCGTAAGATCGAGAACGCCTTTTGCCCGGAGGGGGTTGTGGCGGCGGATCCGATTCTGGATTACATGAAGCACATTATCTGTCCACGCTTTGGTGCTCAAGGCGTGAGAGTGAAGCTCATGGACGAGACGGAGGAGACGTTTGCAAGTTATCAGGAGCTTGAAGACGTCTTTGTTGCGCGTCAAATCAGTGGCACCGGTCTCAAAGCGGCACTGGCCAAGTATCTGAACGAGTACGGCCCAGCTCGCCGTTGTCTTGCTCGCCGTTGTCTTGCTCGCCCAGGTTGTTTTCTTGCCATGTTACTGACTGTGTTTGCATGTATGTGCTTCGATGTCCTGTAGAATTCTGGAACCTGTCAGCGAGCACTTTTCAAGGGGTGACGCCCAAGAGTTGTCGGCCAAAGTGCGGTCGTTTCGCATCACTAGGTGAACGCAATTGGCGCTGAACCGTCGAATCGAGAAGCCGGCGTTTGTAAATGTCGTCTGATCTCGTTAGGACACATTGATGACCTTTTCAAGTTGGCGGATGCACGATGCACTGCTGGCAGGCAAAGAAAAAGAAACACAGAATGAAGAGTATATATTTGTCGAGTTATTCAGTCAACATAGGCTCGTACGATCTTCATCATTGCGACTGCCAATGAGGATTTCACTTTCACCGCCATACTATCTTCTCGCTCACGAAGATTACGAACATGCCGTCGGGCAGATAACCGATCATGACTCACCTTGTGACGAACGACGGCGTCGATCCCATCTCGGCTTGCATCCGACCGCGCATTATGCGACCAAACCATCGCGTTTTTTTTGCCTAGTGATTGTCTTCAGTTGGCCGATGAGTTCGTTTAGGACCGGTGCTTGTGCTTCGGCGCTGCGAAGAAACTCGCCAATCTCGTGTGTTTGCATCTTCCGAAATAAAATGTCCCACGCTTCGTCAGCGGAAATTGCACGACTTCGCAAGGCCTTGTGGCGGGTCGATAGGTTGATGTACTTAAGCCACTCAATCGCAGATTGTTGAACTCCTGAAAGCGACTTCGTGTGCTCGATCGCCAACTTTTGAGCAAGTCTTTTGGGGCCCCGCTTCGGAAGTACCCACGTGTTGATCATAGCGTCCTCGTAATGTGCAAGATCTTCGGCAAGTTTGTTTAGCACCCATGCAACCTGTTTTTTCAAGGCTCCACCATCGACGGTGTCGAGCAAATAGAGCTGCTTTGCAAATCTAATCCTATGTTTAATCTCCGGAAACAACAGGTATTGCCTTTCCAGATTCGAAGTTGGATGCTGGCGGGCATACCCCGGCAAGTCATTGAGCACTAAAGAAGACGTGGACTCCGCATTGATGCCAAGACCTTCCGCGCCTGTTAAACGGCTCGGTCTACGGCCATTCCACATCTTCGTAACGATGTCGACGAGCACAGTTGGTACCCAATCCAGTATTCTCCTCTCCTCGTTGTTCTGGGGTTTGTGGTCCTTAGCCCGTTCCACCACCGTAGCGCCCAGCTTTAGACTTTGATTGGCATCTGACGCGGTCGTATCCTTAGCCGGGCGGTTGGGCGGCCCAAGTCTTGGCGAGCTGGACGTGGCGTTGGGGAGTATCGTTGATTTTGGAGCAGCAGCGATGGCGCGGTCGCCGTCGACCACTCTCTCAGCATTTCCCCAGAGAAAGAGGCTGAAGACATAAAGCACAACGCATGGCGTACGCATCGCGACGGGGGGAGGGTGGTGGGTGGGTGTCAAATTGCTGGTAAATCCGAAGTGAGAGGTGCTAGAGGAGGCGAATGAGCGAGTCGTTGACTCGAATTGAGTGGCCATCTCGCACGAAGAGATCTCAGCCACGACCCGTTTCCTGGCTATCAGAGGATTTAAAAGATATCCGTCTGGTGGCAAAAAATGGAATGTGCCACTCTTGTGGCCAGTAGACAGTGGGTTTACATTGAGTGAGCGGGACTTTCTGATTGCGAGTCGAAAATCGACAAGCAATTCAGCCAATAACTATTGGATTTTAATCACTTCTCTACGCAAAGCGATCAGTGTCTGACAGCGCCTGGCACCATAAAGATGGACGACCAGCACGCTCGAGGCAGAACGCATTGAACATAGAACGGTCTTACGCGGTGGACGCAAGGCTGCAGACAACTGAGGGGGGTCAACTGGGCCATGACGTAGGACAAAAAGATCTACAACGCCGGGAACAAATTAAAAAATGAGCAATAGTGGCAGTAACAGTCGGGTAAATGCCTGCTTCCTGAGATCTCACCGTGACATCTGACGATCCGTTCGTGCTTCCCAGATCTTCGGATGGTATCCAAATGATCCTCACTGTTTTTAAATTAGAACAAGGCAAGTGCAACTTCCGTTATGAAGCACCGCATTTTTTCAACAAAGGACATCAAATGTGTAACGGGGCACACCCTTGCGTGAACTTAACGCAAGGGTATCGGTGCCCCGACAGACGTACACGAGGCAAGCGAGGAAGCATAGGTAGGGTAAAAGCA